CAACATTCCGGAGTTGGTTTGGTGTTCATTCGGGCAGTCGTAGTAGCATTACGAGTGGTAGTAGTAGAAGCAGCAGCAACAGTAGTGGTAGTAGTAGTGGTAGCGGTAGCACTAGCAGCACAGGAAGTAACATTAGTAGAAGTAGTAGTGGCCCTAGCAGTCGTTGTAGTAGGAGGAGTCGGAGCTTGGAGCCGCCCCGGATTGTTTGTCCCGTGTGGTCCAGACTTTTTCGGGCGGGTTTGCGGTCAAAAGTTGTCGAATCGAAGACGTGTAGACATGGCCGAGCCCTGGCGAGGTTGGGGCGGTGACGATATTGATAATGACGATGCTGCTGGTAGTGGTGACGATGATGACGGTAGCGATGATAACGATAGTTGCCATGGTGATGATGGTGAACGTGATGATGACGTTGGCGATGGTGGTGGTGTTGCAGATGGCATGGTGACAAGCACCGCTGTGGACAATGCTATGTGGACTTTCTGGGCTGCACCTATCGGATCGCTATGTCTTCTTCACCACCACCATCAACATCCCCACCATCACCATCAACATCCCCATCATCAAGACCATCTTCTCCACCATCCCCATCATCGCCCTCTTCTTCACCACCGCCATCAACATCCCCATCGTCACCATCTTCATCGCCGTCGTCACCACATCGCTGCCATCATCATCGGCAGCATTCTCGATACCATCGCCGGCCCCTCCCCGCCGGGTCTCGGTCCGTCTGCCAAAGTCGTAGAGTGGATCCTGTGCGTGGCGACGCGCCCCCGAATTTTTTAACCTCCTCCTCCTCCTCGTCCTCCTCCTCCTTCTCTGCATTCCTCCTCCTCCTCCTGCTCCTCTGCATTCCTCCTCCTCCCCCTTCCCCCCCCCCCTCGTCCTCCTCCTCCTCACCCTCCTCCTCCTCCTCCTCCTCCTCCCCCTCCTCCTCCTTCCGCGTGGGCCCTTCCCTCCAGTCGGCACCAAACTTCGGGGAGGGGGGACCCGCCCACCTCCGCCGGGCTGCGCCCCAGAAATTTTGAACCATTTCGGCCAAGCCTCCGCAGGGGGGAGCCTACCCCCGCCAGGCGTCGATCGGATGTTCACTTCGTGGATTCGGAGTCCCATTCGACTGCCGACCCACCACCGAAACTTTTGACCATCCCGGGTCAAAATTTCAGCGATGGGGGCCACCCCCGCTGTGTCTCGACTAATGATTCTACGACGACAACTACTGGGACTTCTTCGAACTACCTCTACTACTCTTCTTTCTTGCGCGACCACTCCCATTATCACCAGTACTCTTGTTAGTATTGCTGTTATTACTTTGATACTACGAACTGCAACCATGTTGAGCGCTCGCGGACGAGCGTGCGTTCGCGCCCTCGTGCGGGTGAGGGCCCTTGTAACACGCCAACGGAAAGTTACCATGTTGGTGTCGGAATCCGAAGTGAAACCTTAGCGCAGACGGGTTGGATTCCCAAGTGGGAATTGCAATCTAGTGCTGCACTGGCCGCCAAACTCTTGACACGCGCGCGTGCGCGGACGCGCGCGCGTTCACTCGCTTGGGGGCCCGTGGATTACGCCAACAGCAAAGCTGCCAGTTTGGCTTGGAAACTAACGGAGAACCTCAGCGCTGGCCAGTGGGTTTCTCAACGCAGCATTCACGACCTTCGGTTGCACAGGACAGATCTCTCGATACGTGCGCGCGCGCCTCCGCGCGGACCCGTGGTGGGGGGCCTTGCATTATACCAGTAGGAAAGCTGTCATGCTGGCATGAAAACTAGAGGCATATCTTGGCGCTGAGCAGTTGGATTTCAAAGGCAATATACGCGATCTTGGACTGTTCAAGCTGCGGGACTCTTGACACACGCGCGCCCGGACGCGCGCGCGCCCGCGAGGGTTTAGGTCTTTTTGTATTTTGCAAACAGGATGGCTGCCATGTCGGCCTGGACTCCAAAGTGAACCACTGTCGTTGGCCACGTAAGCTGTCAACTTGACATGCACGGTCTTGGATTGCGCACTTCAGACCTCTCGACACGCGTGCGCGGGCGCGCGCGCGTCCGCGCGGATGCGCGAGGTGGGGGCCTCGTATAATACCAACGATAGCGCTACAATGTTGGCTTGGGAACAAGTGTGGATGCTTCGCACTGGGACGCTGGATTTTCAAGTTACCATTCAATACCTTGGTTTCAGCAGTACCGAACTCTTGACGCGGGCGCGCGGACGTGCGCGCGTTTTCGCGTCCGCGCGGGTCGTATGTATTATGTACATCGGAAGTTTGCCATGCCGACCCGGGAAGCAGAAGAGAGCCATTAGCGGCGCCCAGTTGGATCTTCTAATCTAACATGCACGATCATGCGGAACGCTCGACAGGCACGCGCGTGGACGCTCGCGCGGACGCGCTGGTGGTCACCCCATGCGTTATACCAATAGGGAAGTTGCGATTTTGTCTTGGGAGCCAAAGGGAAGCCTTAACGCCGACCATTCGAGTTTGCAAGTTAAGATGCGCGATAGTGTGTTGGACAAGCTAAAGGACTCTCGGCACGCTTGTAGGCAGACGCACGCGCGTCCGCGAGAATGGGGGGCTCCAGTGCGCAATCTCACATGCGCCACTTCGCTGCCCCACGTTAACCTGCACGATTTCGGACTTTACCGTGCAGTACTCTCTTCGCGCGAACTCGTTCTCGTCCGCGCGTCCGCGCGAAGGGATAATTCTGCAGCGCATCAAGGGGGACGCTGCCATGCTGGCTTGAAAGCAGTGTGCACCTTTCCCGGCACCAACACCCGGACCCGACGCTCATGGAGAGGCCGAACTCTTGAAGGAGGGCGCCCCAGGTGCCCAAAGTGAATTTCTAGCGGTGACCCGTTGGGAGCGCGCAGCGCGGCGCGTGTGCGACGCCTTTCGGAGCAAGCCCTGCGGCGCCCGCGCGGCGTCGCGCGGCGCGCGCGCGGCGCGCACGCGGCAGGCGCACGCCGCACGCGCCGCGCCCGCGCCCCGCCCGCGCACGCGCGCCGCCGCACTCGCCGCTCGGCCTCCACTTGTCGTCGTCGTCGTCGTCGTCGTCCAGTTGTTGAGTTGGTGACCGAGTTGATTTTGGAGTGGATCTCGGGTTGAGCTTGGTTTGATCATTGGGTTGACTGTGAGTGGGCGTTGCATTGCTTGTTGCGCTGGTGTTGCGTTGATGCCGGGCTGATGTTCTGGAGGATGTTTGGGGCTGGTGGTGGGCTGATTTCGGGTTGTGATATGATGTGCTTGTGGGCTGACGCTGGGCATATTGATGGGGCAGGCGTAAGACTCGAGTAAGCCAGAACTCGGGCTTGCCGAAGTTGTTTGACGAGCGCGTCCTGGATTTTGACGATCCAGTTCTCGCGGGATGTCTGCAGTGGGAGCCCGCGTCAAAGTTCAGATTGGGTCTCGTCATTCCCCAATCAGTGCTTGCACTGAAGGATTTGGCGAAAGTTCCCTGCCGATTTTGGTGGCAGGCTGGGTTCGGGGGTTCCCGGGTTCCCGGGTTCGGGGTTCGCGGGTTCCCGGTTCTGGGTTCTGGGCCGATTTCGGAGGGCGGCGAGGTTCCCTGGTTCCCGGGTTCTTGGTCGATCTTCTTATCGATCGGTCTCACCATCGATCTCATTACCCACCTCTCTATCGATCTCACCATCGACCTCACAATCGATCTCACAAGCGGTCTCACTAGAGATCGCATGAGCGATCTCGCGATCGATCTCACTATCGATCTCATTGAATCGATTTCACGATCGACCTTACAATCGTCCTCACTATCGATTACACTATCGATCTCATTATCGATCTCACAATCGATCCCAAGATCCAAAGTATTAATGTTCAAATCATCCACTGATTGGGGTTTTCTCAGGTTTAATTTTTATGATGGCCCGTCAGGCCAACCCGAGTCCCCCGTACCCGAGTCTTACGTCTCCCCGGATTGAGTTGTATGTGAATTGATTGCAGAGTTGAGCCCGCCCTCACAGGGCCATGCTGCGCCGTACGGCACGGCCGTCGCAGTGCGGCTTCACGTCGAATGCAGATCAGAAATTGATATTGACATCAATGTTACCATCAAGTCAAAGTCAACGCAAAATCATCCCAACCATTCCCCAATCAGTGCTTGCATTGAAGGGGTCCTAGCGGAAATTGAAAGATTTTGCGAAAGTGTCCCGCCGATTTTGGTGGCCGGCTGGGTTCCGCGGTTCCGGGTTCCGGGGTTCCCGGTTATTGGTTCTGGGCCGATTTCGGTGGGTTCCGGGTTCCCAGTTTCCTGGTCGATCTCCTTATTGATCAAACCATCCACTGATTGGGGTTTTTCTCTGGTGTACTTACCATCAAGTCAAAGTCAAAGCAAAATCAATTCAACCATGAGTTCCAGAGCCACTGCTCGGTCCGAGGGCCAACTCACCGCCATCTCGAAAACACGTGCAGAACTGCATGCAGCATCGACTCGGTAATCGACTCAAGACCGGCTGTGTCTCAGGACCCCCACGCGCGTCGGCTTCGCTCCTTGCCAGAGGCTGAACATCGTCAAACATCTCCCTCAGATCTGTTCTTCTATGTTCTTCTCCCCACGACGAGAGGAGGCCACCAGGCTCTCTGCGCTCCTCCTCCTCCTAATCCTCCTCCCCCTCCTCCTCCTCCTCCTCCCCCTCCTCCTCCTCCTCCTCCTCCTCCTCCTCCTCCTCCTCCTCCTCCTCCTCCTCCTCCCTCCTCCTCTCCTCCTCCTCCCTCCTCCTCCTCCTCGTCCTCCTCCTCCTCCTCCTCCTCCTCCTCCCCTCCTCCTCCTCCTCCTCCTCCTCCTCCTCCTCCTCCTCCTCCTCCTCCCCCCCCCTCCTCCTCCTCCTCCTTCTCCTCCTTCTCCTCTCCTCCTCCTCCTCCTCCTCCTCCTCCTCCTCCTCCTCCTCCTCCTCCTCCTCCTCCTTCCCTCCTTCTCCTCCTCCTCCTTCTCCTCCCCTCCTCCTCCTTCTCCTTCTCCTCCTCCTCCCCCCCCCCTCTCCGCGCTCAGGCGCGCACCGAATCCAGCCCTTCGCGCTGAACACCTGCAACAGGTTCAAGAAGGTGATCGTTTTTTGATTCATTGTTTTGCCGATCGGCGCGGGCCCTCGCACCCCCCCTCTCCCCCCTCCGTGGAGTAGATATCGACTGCTTTGGGAGCCGGTTTCAAGCAGGTAGAGTCGCCCCCCAGAGGCCCAGAGGACGCACGGTTCCGAACAGTCGCACTAAGCAGAGGTCTGGAGCCAGACCCCCCCCCTTCCCCCCCCGTCCGCCCAATGTCGCAACGCCGAACAAAAAGAAAACGCTCACAAGGCCCGGTCGCGAGGGCGGCCTATCCCTTCCCCAGATTACGTGCGGCCGCTTCAGCGCTCAGATGGAACATCACACGTGTTTTTTGGTATGGCTGCCGGCTGCCGTAAAAAAATCGTGCGATGCCCCGTCGGTTGTAGAAGGCCCGCTCGCGAGCGCGGCGTGCCCAGCTCCCCAGACTATCTTATGCGCGGTCGCTTCAGAGCGCCCCATGCCCGCCGACAGCGTTGCAGACGCTGTGGGGCTCGGGCGTCGCGCACTAGGGGGGCGATCAATGGGGTGGCAACGAGGACTGATAACAATTATGCTTATCAAGGGCTGAGCAACGATATCCAAAAGGCGCCTTATACACCGGGCCCCCCTAAGCTCCAATTCGCAGAAAATGCCCTAATAAACCGGATCCCGTTACGAAAAAGGCGCCTTAAAGAGCCGGACCCGGGGGACGAGTAATAAGGCATATGGAGTAGGGGGGTGATCAATGGGGTGGCGACGAGGGCTGCAGAAAATAGGGGCCCTTTAGGGCCACTGCCAGGGCCCTTCGGGGCCCCACAGAGGGTTTCTAGGGCCCGGCAATGGCACCTTTCTTACCCCCCGCCTGATCGCCCCCCAGATGAGCGACGCCCTGCAGGCGCTTTTGAGCAATATGTGAGCATTCGATGGCGGAAAGCAAATCCGTATCCGCGGCCTTGCGAGTCGGGCCCCTAGGCCCTAGGCCGCGACCCCGCGGGTACGTGCGGAGCGTATCCGTGCGACCGCGTATCCCCGAGATCGCGCCCCGGAGTCCAGACCGCCAGGGCACGGATACGGCTACGGATATGCTCGCCGTTCGAGATGAGGAAAGGGTCGAGATTTTGTGGTCCTTGTGTGAAGAAGTCATTCGTGTTTCCAACCATCCTGTGGTGTTGGGTCCTCGTTTTGAAGGGACAGCGCCCCGCGATCCTCATTCCTCCCGCTGCCCTCCCCTCTCCACCTCCCCCTCCTCCCTCATCCCATCAGTGCCTCTGCTCTCCGCATGTCCTTATCGTCGTCATATTGGCGCATGCAGTTCCACCTCCATTTCGGCGCACCCCTCACACCTTCCGTGGTCCCATAAGGTGCCCGCGGTTAGGGTCCGCATGCAGTTCCACCCCCACTCCGGCAAACCCCTCAAACGGTTCGTGGCCCCGTAGGGTGCTCCTTCCGAAGGCCCCAGTGGCAGGGTCCGCATGCAGTTCCACCTCCATTTTGGCGCATCCCTCACACGTTTCGTGGCCCCATCGGGTGCTCCACAGAAGGCCCCAGTGGCAGGGTCCGCATGCAGTTCCACCCCCATTTCGGCGCACCCCTCACACGTTTCGTGACCCCATAGTGTGGTCCACCGAAGGCCCCAGAGGCAGGGTCCGCATGCAGTTCCACTCCCATTTCGGCGCACCCCTTCACACGTTCCGTGGCCCCATAGGGTGCTGCACCGAAGGCTCATTTGGCAGGGTCCGCATGCAGTTCCAACCCCATTTTGGCGCACCCCTCACACGTTTCGCGGCCGCATCGGGTGCTCCACCGAAGGCTCCTTTGGCAGGGTCCGCATACAGTTCCACCCTCCATTTCAGCGCACCCCTCACACGTTTCGTGGCCCCGTAGCGTGCTCCGCCGAATGCCCTAGTGGCAGCGCCCGCACGCTGTTCCACCCTGCGTTTCGGCGCACCCCTCGCACGTTTCGTGGCCTCACACGGGGCTCCACCGACGGCTCCAGTGGCAGCGCCCGCATGGCGTACCCGTGCCACTTTTGGCACACCCGTCACCCGCGTCGTGGCCCCAGAGAGAGGGCCACCGAGGACGATACCCACAACTGCGTTACTCACAACTGCACATCGTTGGGTCCTGCGCCAAGGCTTTCTTTGCCCTGGATACTTGTTTCCCTGCTTTCGACCACAACGGGCCGCTCTCGGCCCCCGGGGCCACCACGAGTTCATACGGACAAGTGACCCGGTCGCACGGGTCGGGACTTCTGGAGCTCCCGGGAGGGAGGAAAAGGAGGAGGAGGAGGAGGAGGAGGACGAGGAGGGAGAGGGAGGGAGGGAGGGAGGCGGTGGGTTGAGGAGGAGGAGGAGGAGGAGGAGGAGGAGGAGGAGACGGGAGAGGATTGTTTCCAAAACGATCTGTGGGATGCCGGGGCCCCTTTGGAAGCCCCGAAGCTGTGGCTCGCTCTCTGTGGCACGCCCTCCCTGCAGTTCCACACGACGTATTTCGTTTTCCTACGTGGGGGGCGTTCGTTAAGGAACGTGCCCAGGAGGCTTCAGACCCTGGAGGGTTCCTTATCTGATGAGGGCGGCGGTGATACTCGTGGCCAGTCCACGATTGGCTTTCCACGGGCTTCCAGACCCTGGATTCCTTATCTAAGGGTTCCTTGTTCAAGGCCCCCACCGTTTGAGCTGCCTCCCGAAGCGGCCCCGGCCTCGAGGACCGAAGGGGTGCTGCCGTCTCCTCCTCGACGGAGGGCGGCCGAGCGGCGGCGGAAGCTGGCGGCCAGTAGAACGAGGGCGGCTCGGCCGGCAGAAAGCCAGCGGAAGGCTGGCGGAAGGGAATCGGGAGCCTTGAGACGGGGGTCAATGCAAACGGGGGTCAGCCAGAGCGCCCGATCTTGCAGGATCCAGCAGGGCCAGGGTCGCACTGACCCGGGTTTGGGTGCAGGATCTGGCAGGGTCCTGCAGGATCCTTCGCATTGACCCGGGTTTGGGTGCAGGATCTTGCAGGATCGTGGAAGGCCTGGCTGACCCGGGTCTGGATTGACCCGGGTCAGAAGATCACCGAGGTAAAGGTTCGCCCCCAAGAGATTCAAGCAGTGGCGAAGCGTTTTGGCGTGTCTAGAGGCCTACCAAAGAATCTAAGAGCCTTTTGTGATCTCCACGAGATGTTCTTGGAACATCTCTTGCTGGGACCGTTTTGTTTTAGCACATCGGGTTCATGTGCTAAGAACATTGTTTTTGCTTGTAGAACATTTCTGGGTTGTAGGACAATTTCGTGGTATGCCTGTAGGAATGCCGGGACGGTCGGTCCCTACTCAAGAGACTGCAACATTTTTGGTTTCAGGGTTTCCGGCACCCGCCATATGTACGGGCCTGCTGCGCGCGGAACATCCGCGGTCAGCCTGGCCAGATGGCCAGGGATGTGGTTTTTATGCGGAAGCCCCCTCGGGAAGATACAGACGGTGCGACCGCTGACGACGTCGTTCGGCGACCGGTAGAGTTCGCGGGCCATATCAGACACGGACCGCCGTAGAAAAGGCGCCTTCCCGGTCCGACCTCGGACCCCCCCCCAAAAAAAGCTTGACGGTCGTCTGGTGCATCAGGGAAGCACCTTGGCAGGCCAATGTTCACACGGAGAGCGACGGAAGGGGACGACATGAAGAGGCGAGGGACGGAGGGCAAATTGCGAGAGCCAGGTGGGCAGCGGTTTGCTCTCTCTTCTATCCTTCCCTCTCTGTCTTGTCAGGCGCGGATGCAGAGTAATTGCCCGCTGCGTCTGAACCCCCCCCCCCGTCGGAGCTGGAAAGATCGCCTCTTGGGGCCCTCTTGGGGCTCGTGAGTGGGGCGCTCTTGGGGTCGTGGAAGGCGTCCTGAGGCTCTTGTGGGCGCTTCCTGGGGTTCTCTTCGGTGATCTTTGGGCCATCTTGGGGCTTCAGAGGCCCATCGGACACGGAAAGACAAGAAGGCAACCAGATTTAGACCATCTTCTGGGGACGGTTTCGGCCTCGGGGCATCCTTGGGAGGCTCCATTCTAAAGTGAGCTGAGGGACGTAAGGAGTGGAAGCGAGCGTGCGCCCGCGGCCGCGTTGGCTCAAGCGGCCGGCCGCCTAGATTTGACTGTGCCTCACCGCGAGGCACACAATCGTTATCGAGACCAAGAGGATGTTGTTATTGCTTGCGATGGCATCACCTCTCCTAGTGGGACTATCGTCACTACGATACAACAGAGCTGGAGCTTGGCTTCGCCTGAGGCGACGCTGTTGGCTGGGCCTTTCCAGCCCCCTTCAAACTTGGTAGCGGAGCTGGCCTATGGTGGTCAGCTCTAGCTCTACTCCTCACCATCCGCGGCACTAGCTGGTGGACTACGGATATGGTGGAACATCAGGGTGCACTGGCATTGCGCGGAGGAGTGTATATAACTACGCAGTATCGCAAGGAAACTTGCAGCGATACCTCTGCTCCAGCGGAGGTCTCTTACTCATATCCTACAGCCCTGCGCTATTACACTCCTGAAGACCACCCACCTACTCCAATTCGAAATTTCTTCGGATACATAATGCATGGTAACATGCGATACGATATACTGCCGGCTCCGACCCCGCGCAGACTTACGACGACAAAACATAAGTCCCCACCGACTACATCCGACTACGACCTACGAGGCCATTGGATTGGGGTTACTGTCTTGGGGCTCGTATGGGTCGCTCTTGGATGTGCGGTAGGACATATGCGGGGCGGAGACAACACTAGAACGACTGGCTCCCATTGGGATCCTGCCAGTCAAGTACCATTTCGCGAGTCCGTCCGCGAAGTACACGCCTGGATCAATGTGACAACAGGCAACATGACGCCCTCCCAGCAGGCCGCCGCATTGCAGCGCGGTCTTGGAGGGCCCGCACGGACCATAGCCATGAGAGTCCCCCCAGCAGTCATCAATTTTGGCGTCAATATAGGCGGTCGCCACATTGACGGCGTCACCTACACGATGTTCCTCTTAAGTACGAAGTTCGAGAACCTAGAAGAGGATCGCCA